AGGGACCCTCATTTTGACAACCACCCATAAAGCTGGTTAAAGCAAAAATAAACCTTTAACCTCTAAATCCTAAAGCCATAAGCCTCTAACCTCTAAACCCTAAAGCCATAAGGGAACCAAGAAGCTGCTGCTGTGCAAGAGACTCCTTGGCTCCTCCTTCCCCGGGAGTTGGGAGGCCTTCTTCTTCGAGGGCTTCCTTAGCTTCCCCACTGTGGGGGTTTAGGGTTTAGGGTTTAGGGGTTTAGGGTCTACTTTTCAAATTTTTTGTGTGGTTTATGGTTTATATTCTAGAGTTTAGGGTCTACTTCCCAATTTTGTGGGGTTTAGGGTTTAGGGTTGAGGGTCTGGGACTTAGGGTTTAGAGTCTTAGGGTCTAGGGTCTAGGGCTTACTTCCCAAATTGTTAGGGTTTTGGGTCCAGGGTTTAGGGTTTAGGGGTTACTTCCCCAATTTAGGGTTTTGGGTCCAGGGTCTAGGGTTTAGGGGTTGCTGCCCCAATTTAGGGTTTTGTTTGGGTCCAGGGTCTAGGGTTTAGGGGTTACTTCCCCAATTTAGGGTTTTTGAGTCCAGGGTTGAGGGTTTAGGGGTAACTTCCACAATTTAGGGTTTATAGGGTTTGGGGTCGGTGGTTCTTCAGGGTTTAGGGTCAGTGGTCGAACACTCAGAGCACTACCAAGCTATAAAACCCAAAAGCAACGACTTTGAAATCAAGGTTGGGTTTAGGGCTCAGCCCTAAACCCTAAACCCGAAACCCTAAACCCTAAACCCTAAAAACCCTAAACCCTAAACTGTAACATTGGGGCCTAAATAGTTACCAAAACGATTTTGCATTTGCAGGATGCGCCCCTCTCGGGGCTCCGCAGTCCATCAGAAGAGGAAGTTTGGGGTTCCTCACTATAATTTTCGTATAGTATACCCCAAAACTCCATTCTAAATATTAAGGCCCCTAAACCCTAAACCCTAAACCCTCAACCCCAAAACCCTAAAACATTAGGGGCTTGGGGTTTAGGGTATTGGAGAACCAAGTTTCGGGACATTCAGCGAGCCTGTGAGAATCGCAAGGCCGATAGCAAGTCCAACTGCATTCAGCAGGGAGCCTTCGTCGACGGTTTAGGGTTTGGGGTTAAGGGTCCAGTTAAGGGTCCAGGGTTTAGGGTGCAGTGTTTAGGGTTTAGGGTTAAGGGTCCAGGGTTGAGGGTTTAGGGTCCAGGGTTTAGGGTTAAGGGTCCAGGGTTGAGGGTTCGGGCAGTCTAAGTTGCTCAGTTGAAAAGCCGGGAACCAAAATCAACCAGTCAGTTTTATAGGGGGTAGACTATCCCAAGAAGTGCAGAGTGTGAGGAGCTGTAGTCAACGGTTGTGAGGGCGATGTACTCCCGGACGAAGCCGTTCGTCAAGGCCGTGATCAACACGTAGAAGGCGATGGTTGAGTTGCCTAGGATGCCCGATAGCGTGGGATTAAAAAAGGCTCTCTTCGTGGTATTTGGGCGCCTTTGCAAGGAACCCAAGACTTCAAAAGAGAAAAAAGTAAGGGCCCACTGGGAGACCGAGTTGCTGAGCAGGACGGCGACTTGAAAGCGACGCAGGGTGCTCGCCGCAAAGAGCATCTTCCCCGAGGGAGCCCCGCTCAACGTGGTACGACTGCGAAGGGACCGCTGCAGCGCGAGCAGAGGGGCGCGAAGTGCCAAGAATTCCAGAAAAGTCAAGACGACGAGTGAAAGAGCTGACGTGAAGCAACCCAGCAGAAAAAGAAGCTCCAGGCGAACTGCAGCTGGCAAGAGAATCGTTAAGGCAACGACGACGTACTTCAGGTAGACGATGGCACGGAAACAAGGCAAAGGCTCTTCGAACGCTGCCTCAAGAGCCCTCATCATTTTCACGACGATCTGAAGAAACCAATTGCCAGAAAGAACAAGCAACAACCTGCCGGATACTTGTAGTCCTGCTATTAGTGACTCCTGCATGTTCACAGAACCCTCCAGGAAGGAATCCCTTACGCCATCATTGTTCTCGTCTGCACCGGCACAGGCAATCCACGTGTTGCCAAGGGTGGCTACAATCTGACTAGTGTACAAGTATAGAAGACACCTGATGCAGTCACGGATATAAGTTGACTGCGGGTGATCGGCCAGTACTAGGCATACTCCAATCACGGTCAGAAACCAGTTCACCGCATGACGGAAGCACAGAAGTGTCCAGAACTGATCAAACTTGTAACCGAATGAGGTCTTCATCTCCGGATCGAAAGCACGACAGCCGTCCGAGCCGCCCAGGAAGAGCCAGGCTGCAGCGGTGACCACAGAGGTACAAACCAGCAAGGCAATAGCCACGGATGCACGAATCTGGAGGGGATATGGAGACGACTGGCTTCTCAGAACATAATACCCGAAGAAATATCCCCACACCGCCAGGGCAACACATCCAAAGGTCACATGCACAACAAGCAGCCCGATCGCAACTGCCGCAGACACAACCGCAGTCGTCCACGGAAGCTGTGACAGCACGCGACGCCGACACAGAGACATGAGCCCATTAGGCTTCCAATGTGCAGGAAAAACGACAACAGATCTGAGCCTAAATCCTGGCAATAACTGAATATTGCTGTTCTCATTGTTATTACCATTCTTTTTATTACTACGATTGTATGATGAATAATATATATATATATATATAGATATGTATATATATATATACACGCATACACATACATATATAGATACATAGATACATAGGTACATATATACATAGAAACATCGATACATAGATACACAGATACATAGATAAATAGATACATACATACATACATACATACATACATACATACATACATATAACACAAGTCCTCAAGTTTCTGCGGAGCACCAGGAGGTGCCATGCCTAAACCCTGCTTAAAATTTAGAGTTTGGGGTTTTGGCGCCTACACCCTAAACCCGAAGCCTAAAAACCCAAGCCCTACAACCTAAACCCTACACGGTTTTGGTGCCTTCTGAGGGCTCCCTTGCGAAGGCAGCCTCATCGCCCTACCAAAACTCACTACACCCTTCATTTCATGTTCCAAAACCCTGGGGCTCCAAAAAGCCCAAAGTAGGTACTATTTACAGACTATAGACCCCAAACTAGGTTCGATTTGTACACTTGGTGCTCTTGAGAAAGCGTGTTCTGAAGCGGTTTAGGGTTTAGGCTTTACGGGATGAGGGTTTAGGGCTCATGACGGCTGCCAGCCTCGCCGAGGTACTTTGCCAAGTCGGGCCTCAGCGTCGTTTCGTTGGGGCTTTAAGGGTTTAGGGTTTAGGTTTAAGCCTTTAAGCTCGTCAGGTGTAGGGAGTTCTAGTCGTATTGTGCTCGCAGTCTGGGGCCCAGCATTCACCAGGAACCTAAATGATACACGCACGAGCCCTCGGAATTTCGGTACTTCTAAAAACTGAATAACAACAACAATAGCACACAGCAGCTGATACGATGTCTCCCCTCAAGTCTGTCATGTCCTTTAGAGGCTGCCGCTGGCATCTGCACGAGCCTCAAGGCTTCGAATTCGTTGGAACCAGGGTTCTGAATCAGGGGTAGGGTTTACCCTAAACCCTAAACCCTAAACCCTAAACCCTAAACCCTAAACCCTAAGGGTTCAGGGTTTAGGGCTCTGAATCCCAAGGGTTCCATGGGCTTAGGATTCGGGGGTTAGGGTTTAGGATTCGGGGTGTAGGGTTTAGGGCGCTGAATCCCGAAGATTCCATGGGCTTAGGGTTCGGGGTTTAGGGTTCGGGGTGTCGGGCTCTGAATCTCGAGCCCCAAGGTCCCATGTACCCCTCCAGCAGATCCTCTGGCCCTGAAGTACCTAAGTTATAAGGACCACGACTTTGAGGCCAATCGCTTTTTCTGCGAAGGTTCATTCATGGATCCTTTGGGGAATCTGATCTCAACTCTTGGTTCGTGATAGCTTTGGTCTCTTTTATAGCCTACTACATATCCTATATATATATATATATACATGTATAGATATACTTAGGGGTTTGGGGGGACGCTTTTCCAGAAGCCTAGGAGCACAAAAAGGAAAAACGGATCCGCTGGGAGACCTAGAACAGCCCAAACCCTAATCTCTAAACCCCAAACCCTCGACACCCTGCAGATTCTCCAGCCTAGCAACTTGAAACAGACCCTAAACCCTAAACCCTAAACCCTAAACCCTAAACCCTAAACCGTGAAACAGAGGCTCCTAAGAACCCCACATAACCTTGATGATGGAAAGACGAACTCGCCACTGCCGGTCTTTGCCAAGCTCCTCCGAGGCTACTGTGCCTTAGGGTTTGGGGTTTTGGGGCTTAGGGTTTCGGGATTTAAGGGCTTAGGGTCTAGAGGGTCATGCCCTTCACCTTTTTCAAACACCTCGTCCTCTGAGAAACGGCCTTTCAAGATTTTGACGGACTTGAAAATAGGGTCTTGGGGGGGCAGGGAACCCCATTAGATGCCAACGTGACAAGCAAGACCCGACGCCCGAAGTCTTAAACTGCGGTTTAGGGACTGGGGTTTAGGGTGTAGGGTTCCCAAAAATCTAAAGTCGCTTTTGCATTGCGGGTTGCTGGTCGCGAGGTTGCAACACGGTATGTAGCGACATTGAGCCCGAAACCCTGAAACCTATAAATTCTGATCCCTGCCTATCCTCGAAAAGCAAACTGACAGTTTTTGACCACAACCAAGCACCTTTCTTTCCTGGTACCACGGAGCCCTTCATGGTTCGAGTACGGTTTTGGGGCAGATTATACGGTGCTAGAGGTCTGAAAAGTTAGAGTCGGGTTTTGGCACACATTCTTCAATATAACTACAATGAAGAGCCCTAAGAAATAACATGGACTGACGTCTTCCATGCTATTCTTAGGGCTCCTCCTTGTTGAATATTACCAGTGATTCGGGTCCCTATAGTCTGCTGATTCAAGCGTCTTCAGCGTGGTGACCGGTGATACCCGGCCGTCTAGCATCGGTGAAGTTCGGGGTTTGGGTCTCTTGCATCCTGGCTTAGGGTTTAGGGTTTAGGGTTTAGGGTGAAAAGCGTCTTGCCCTTTGAAGCCTACCTACCTAAGGTAGGGGCCTTAACAGTTAGAATAGGGCTTTGGGGCCCTGTTATTATACCATAATTCTAAGAAGGACCCCCCCAAAAAAAAACAATGGGAATGGTAATTACTTCTTGCCCTACAGTACCTACGCCATCTTCCGAAACTCCCTCATGGGGTCCTTGATGGAGGGCAGAAGAGACTGGGCAAGAACATCCACTCCGACCTTGCTGCGCGACACCATGTGGGAGTTGCGAATCGGATCTTTGCATTTCTGGGTGGATGATCTACAAACGCACTAACTAACCTGGCTTACGTTGCTGGATGACTGCCCCGCAAGGAAGCCTGATCCCCGCTGAATTCCGGCAGCCTAAACCCTAAAGGGCCTACGGCTCAGCTGTGAAACCTGAAGCCTTTGGATCCCAAATGGTGTAAACCCTAAACCCTAAACCCCTAAACCCTAAACCCTAAACCCTAAACCCTAGACCCCTAAACCCCTAAACCCTAAACCCTAAACCCCTAAACCCCAAACGGTTCAGGGTTTAGGGTTTAGGGTTATGTACGGGTCAACATAGGCGGGGTGACGATAGGATTACTTTGAAGGCGCTGGATCCTAGATGCGATTGACCCGTTAAGACCCTGAACCCTAAGCCCGACAAACCTGCCTTAAGAACCCAAAACCTACTTTTTGGTGGGGTCCCTATAAATCCCATATTAGGGTGTGTAATAAGAACCTACGAAAAAGTGGGTTTTGGGTTCTTAAACCTACAGCCTAAACCTCTAACCGTGAAACTCTTAAAAGCCCCCGGCCCCCAAAAGCCTGAAACCCTATGCACCCTAAACCCTAAGCCCTAGAGCCGGGACACCGTGGAGGAGAGATGCTCCAGCGTGCTAATCAGCTGCAGCCGAACTTCCGGGCATTCGTCCCTGCAGGGTTTAGGGGTGTTAGGGTTTAGGATGTTGTTTAGGGTTTTTAGGATGTTGTTTAGGGTTATGGTTAGGGTTTAGGATCTTGTTTAGGGTCATGGGTTTTAGGATTTAGGGCAAAAAGGTCTATAGCGGTTTCGGGTAAAAGGTTTAGGACTTGTAGGGCTACGTACTAGGGTTGAAAGACTGTGCTTTGGTATAGTGGGGGTATATTATATAGCCCCCAACTTGTTAAAAGTCTATACTATTGAGGGCTTCATATATCTATACTATATACGTAGTATCAGCTTAAACTAAAGGAGAATGAGACGCAGCAGCAGCCACATTATCATCATCATCATAATCATAATCATAATTAATCATTGTCATCGTCATCCGCCGCCGAAAACTTGGAGTAGGGTCAGTAGAGACATGCGGGCCAGAGTTGGGGCCCTAAACAGAACCCGAAAGCTGAAGCAGGACAGAGGGCAAGGACCCTAAGGTAAGGGGCTTTAATCATTAGAATAGGGTTTGAAGGTATTTTATCCTAAACAAACTATAACCAGGAACCCCACCCCCGCCCAAAAATTGTGTATTATTATTATTAATATTATTATTATTATTGAGACACCTATATTAGCAAGCAAAGCTCACAGCGCAGTGGCGGTGGCTTTTGTCACAGCAGGGCCTGATCAGCTGCAAAACGATATTGATGAGATAGTCCTGGGCAGACGACGCCGGTTTAGGGTTTAATATTAGGGTTTCGGGTTTAGGGTTTAGGGTTCAGGATTTCTGGATTGGAAGCTGAGGGTTTCGACGTAGTCTAGGGCGATGCAGAGTTTTCGATGGTGTTACTAACTTGGTTCGTTCCCTGCTCCAAGGCACTGGCACTGAATCCTAAACCCGATCGTCAAGCCGACAAGCATGCTAACAGGATGGCATACTTAGTTAATGCCGGGTGTATGCAAGGGGCCCAATATCCATAATCAGTTTACTTCCAAACACTCACGAATGACCGACAAGTTGAAGGAGCATGAACGGATATTCCTGAATTTAATCGGGGAACGAATTGGAACGAAACTTCTAAAGCCTACCCATAGGCCCCATAGTAGTTCCTTGTTGGGATTACCTTATAGGATTCTATATATGAACCCCCAAAAAGGAACTACTTTAGGGCCTATGGGTAGAGCCCTGACATCCTAAAAAGCCTGAAAGCCAAGAGCCCCAAACCACAAAACCCGGGCAGATTTTCTCCGAAAACCCTGAAAGGGTTTAGGGTTTAGGGTTTAGGGTTTAGGGTTTAGGGTTTAGGGCAAAACCTTCAAAGAATATGCCCTTGAAGCCCAGGAGTGCCCGGGCATAAGAACTGAAACCCGCTTACTACGGCTTACATCGGGGGTTTCGGGTTTCGGAGCTTTGGGTTTAGGGTTTAGGCATGGTAGGGTTTAGGGTTTAGGGGTTTAGGGTTTAGGGTGTATCCGAGGTATGGTTTAGGGTTTCGGGTTTTTCGGGCCTCGGGTTTAGGCATTTTTTTCGGGCTCAGGGCCCGGAGGCTGATCTCAAAGCTCCCTCCCGCCGAGGGGAGCCGAGGGATTACTATAGAGCTTATAGGAGGTTTAGGGTTTAGGGTTTAGGGTTTAGGGGGACCCTTGGGGAGCGCTTGTGTTTTATTGGAGGGTTTAGGGTTTGGGGTGGAGATTACGGGTTTTGGGGTTGTGGGGTCTTCTTGTTTTCTTGATTCTGTGGTTGTAGGGTTCTGGGTTTTTGGGGGAACAAGACCCTCTCCATAACGTTCCTTTTAAGTAGGATTAAGAAGGGTCCCCCTACAAGGGGTCTCCCAGGCCTCCCGATTCGGCACTGAGGGGTTAGACTCCCCCGAAAGCGTTAAGCAAGCTCAACCCTAAACCCCCAACCGAAACTGACCAACAAAGCGACTGGGACCCGAGCTACAGTCAGCTGCTTGCCGAAGATTGCGCAGAGTTGGAGCACGCTCCTTGGGATTAGGGCTTAGGGCTAAACTCGAGCCCCAAACAAACCGTGTCCATGGTTCACGGCACGAATGTCCACGTAGTCATAACGGTGTCCAAAACCGTTCCAGCAGCTTGTAAAACAACGGAAAAACTTCTAGGACCCTGCAGAACCTCTTCACTTTCAAACCTAACTCGAACCCAACGAAAACCTCGGTCGATTCGGCCTAAGGGTTGCGGTAAAAGTTTGAGGGCCTTGCCATTTCCCAGTTAAGTTAGGATGTTGACTACAGAGCGGATGGGGCTAAGGACGTGGGCATTGGCTAGGATTTGAGGTTTGTGGAGTAAGGTGTGGTTTAGGGTACCGTTGTAGAATTGTAGCAACGGCGTAATTAAGAGCTTCTGTGGGGGTGTCTACGTGTTGGGCGTGTCATGAACTAGGAAACGGCTAGCTTCTACAAAGAACCGCGTGTTCTTCGTTACTAAACATCCCGAAACCCTAAAACGTAAACCCTAAACACCTAACCCTAAACCTCCCTAACTACGAAATCCTTAAACACCTAACCTCCCCGAAGCATAAACCCTAAACCTCCCTAAACTCTATAAACACCTAAACCTCCCTAAACCATAAACCCAAAACCCTAAAGCTCCCTAAACTCTATAAACACCTAAACCTTCCTAAACTCTATAAACACCTAAACCTTCCTAAACCCTAAACCATGAAACCTAAACCTCCCTAAACCCAACAAACACCTAAACCCTGAACCATAAACCCAAAACCCTAAACCTCCATAGACTCTATAAACACCTAAACCTCCCTAAATCCTAAACCCTGAACCTCCCTAAACTCTACAAACACCTAAACCTCTCTAAACCATAAACCCTAAACCTCCCTAAACTCTATAAACACCCAAATCCCCCTAAACCCTAAACACATGAACCCTGAACCTCCCTAAACCCAACAAACACCTAAACCCTGAACCATAAACCCAAAACCCTAAACCTCCCTAAACTCTACAAACACCTAAACCTCCTTAAACCCTAAACCTTCCTAAACTCTACAAACACCTAAACCTCCCTAAACACTATAAACACCTAAACCTCCCTAGACTCCATAAACACCTAAACCTCCCTAAACCCTAAACCCTAAACCCTAAACCCTAAACCCTAAACCCTAAACCTCCCTAAACTCTATAAATTCTACAAACACCTAAACCCCACAGTACCTGAGGATCCCGGGCCCCGGGCCCCGCCAAAGAGGCGCGAACGTGTTGGCTCTGCTCCCTGGGCGCTGTCAGCCGCTCAAGAGCGGGCCTCGAGGAGTAGGGCTTATAGGGGTTTGGGGGTTCAGGGTTTAGGGGTTTGGGGGTTTGGGGGTTTGGGGTTTAGGGTTTAGGGTTTAGGGTTTAGGGTTTAGGGTTCAGGGATAGGTTATTCAGGACTCGCGGTTTGAGACTTATAGCCTCTCGGTTGGGGGTTTCGGATTAAGGGGGTAGGGCTTAGGACCTCGAATTTAGGGGTTAGGGCTTTAGGGGTTCAGGGTTGACGGTTGGGGGTTTGGGGTTTAGGGTTTTGGGATGTGGGTTTAGGGTTTAGCCTCGGGATAGATGCGTAGAAGGGTTTTTGTAAACGGTTGAGACGGGGTGTTGCAGGGCTTTGACAGGGTTTGGGTGCGGGTTTTGTCAAAGTTTATAAGGCCTAAACTGGCTCAAGGTTTTAGGGTAGAGCTTTTGGGTCTGAAGCGTAGTGTTTTCTAGTTGAGGGTTTAGGCTCCGAGTTTAGGGTTTTGTGTTTAGCGTGTATTTAGAGTTTAGTGTTTAGAGCTGAGGGTTTAGAGTTCATGGTGTGGGTCTAGGGTTTAGGCTGTAGAGTTTGGTGTTTAGAGTTCGGGGTTTCGTTTAGGGCTAAGGGTCTAGTGTTGAGCTTCTCATGCCTACTTTGCAACCTCAGTCAACCCTTTTGCGGACCCTATCGCCGACAATGCTATGACCGAGCCCGTCCCCGCATTCGGGCCTTCGGGCTTAGCAGTATGACAGGAGTTCGTGTGGGATCCCCCGCTCAACAATAAAGCCGGATTTGTCAGTGCAAGGACTCCCATCATATATTCGGCCAAGGACGGGGTTCAGAACGAGCTACAAACGTACTTATGCTTGCAGACAGGCAGGCATGCATATATGCCTGCAGACAGACAGACATGAAGGCAGCCAGGCAGACAGACAGACACACAAACGACGTTCAGACGGTAACAACAGATACAACCAGATACTTACAGATCCATACGCGCACACATATCATGCATGTGCGTTTCCCTCCCTCGATGACGCTATGGTGATGACACCGATGAGATCTTGGGCCCGTGCATCAGCGTCTCCAAGAACTCCTGAAGCGCATGACAATGCTGCTTCGGGTACGTTCTCTTCATTCCTAGCCCACTGTTCAGGCAGAGTGGGCTAAGATGATAGGCTGTAGCTCAACTCTAAGCCCTACACCCTAAACCCTAAACCCTATAAGCCCTACACCAGACTTTGGACTTTCTACAACCCGCAAATCCCCAGTTAAGTCCCGCAGAGAGGTGTGCCAGCTCTTCCAACCCAGCTTTTGCAAGTGTCTGATGCGAAGACCACCCCTCTTGCTGCCGACACCGAGTCATAAGAAGTAATTACCCTAAGGGTCCAAAGGACCCAACAATCAGGTACTTTGGTTGCGGATAGTGGCTATCTAGGTTAAAGTTTGTATGATTATCAGGTACTTTCACCCTTAGGGTTACTAGCAACCCTGAACCGTAAAATCTCGTCCTTGCCCTCAACCCTAAACCCTAAACCCTAAACCCTAAGCCCTAAACCCTAAACCCTGAACAGCTCATCCCCTGGCTCCAAGAAGGGCAGCCTTGGTAGGCGACACAGCCGCTGCGTCAGCTACCCTGGCCGCGGCTACGGTGCGAACCTGGAGTTTGGCGGTGCGATAGGGTTTGGGGATTCCGGGTTCAGGGTTTGGAGTTTAGGGTTTGCGGGTTTAGGGTTTGTGGTGCCGGGGTTAGGGTTGAGGGTTTAGAGTATAGGGTTTGGGACGAGGGGACTGAAATCTACGGTTTCGCTGTTCTTTGCGGTGTCCTCGCTTGTCTTCAGCAAAAACACTTGGGACAGGAATGGACACAGGAATAAATGCTCGAGCTGGTTCAACACTGCATGCTTTTCGAGCCATCGGGGGTCCTTTCCCGAGGAGATCAATCTCCACCCTAAACTCTGAACCCTAGACCCTGGGCCTAGACCTTAACCAAGTCCCAAATCCCAAAACCCTGAACCCCAAATCCCAGACCCGGGCTTGCTCCAAAAGGACTACTAGGGTTCAGAGTTTAATGTAGGAACCTGAATCTATAGTTCCATCTCAAGACTCCTAACCTAATAAAGACCCAAGATTTCTTCATCAGGTTCCTACATTAACCTACCGAAACCCACTTTTCGCAGGTTCAAATTACAAACCTTCATATGGGGTTTCATAGGCACCCTACAAAAAAGTAGGTTTTTGTGGGTTAGGGTACATTCAGGATTAATATAGGCACCGTATTAATTAGAGTAGGGTTGTGGGGTATAATTAGGAATAGGGTTTTGGGGGTATATTTAAATACACCCACAATAATAAGGAGCCCCTGGTAGTTATTTAGCCCTCTATGTTACCTATAGGGTCATACCCTACCCCTTTTTTAGGGTACCTGTTTCTTATATAGCAGATCCTAACCATAAAACTAGGTACCTTAAAAAAGGGGTAGGGTATGACCCTATAGGTACGGTTTACTAGGCCATGTCTGCGAGGCCTAGCTCGGATTTTCTCAACGGGCTCAAAAAGCTCCCGTGCGATGCCTCCACTTCTGCGTCTGTGAGTAGCCGCAGGTACAGCCTGAGCATGAGCTGTGACACACAGTCTAAATAGATAAATAAATAAATAAATAAACATGTATGTATGTATATATATATATTCATTCATTTATTTGTTTATCTATTTACAAGTGTATATATACATATTACCATTATTATCAATTCTATTATTGCTCTTCTTACTATTAGCATTCATGTTTTAATTGCCCCCCCCCAGATAGTATGGTTCAGGATGTAGTCAGCTATAGCACTGATGTCTTGCGATCCTGAAAACAGTTCACAGCCTGATCCCGTTCACAAGATCGGGCAAGCCTACGTCAGAATTACAGGCGATCGCAGTTAGCACTCATATCCTCTAAGCCCAATGCCCTGGCCCAAAAAACTTAAACTTATCTTTTAGTAGGGGTTTACTATACCAAAAAAAGTTTAAAGTTTACAACCCTAAACCCTAAACCCTAAACCCTAAATATCCTCTTACACCACATCCTGCAGCCTGTGTCGGTCGAGCCCTGAGGCCGCAGAGAGGCAACATCGGCAGCTGGCACTCGAATCGGTTTAGGGTTTAGGGTTTCGGGTTTAGGGCTTAGGGTTTAGGGCTTAGGGTTTAGGTCTTAGGATTTAGGGTTTAGGCTTTTTACCACTCGTATCTGAGCCCCTCGAGAGAAGGACGTGTACCCCTGGCTCCCAGTCTGATTCAGGTCGTAGTTGCACGCAAGATGCTGCGTGACAGTGTCCATCCGCTTGAGCCACACCCCACAGTTGGGTCCCTGGCCCTTCCCCAGCTGGCAGTATCGCTCGATGACGACCATAGTGCGAGCTCCTTTGCCAGCTGCGTACATGAGTGTGAGTGAGATCCACGCCTCTGTGGCAGGGAAGCCACCTTCCTCCATCGCCTTCTTCTGCTCAAGCAGGGCCAGGATGTACTGGCCCGTTTCTTCGAGGGACTGTAAGGTCCCTCCGCCAGCCCGCCAGATTTCTTGAAACGCTGTCTCATCTGCAGGATTGAAAATGTTCCTCTCACATGCTTTCCAACGCACGATGCGGTTCAGGACTAGAGCTTGGGGTCCTGAGCCGAACATCTCAAAAATCCTGGCGTAAAGCCAACACCCTAAGTCACACGTTGAATTTGAAACCAAAAAATCCTAAAGCCTAACCGGTCCGATGAAAACCCGTTTGACCTCCAGAAACCCAAACCCCCCCACGAGAGTTCAAGCCACAGGCTGTACAGGCCCAATCCTAAGCCTGCATCCTACACCTTCCGTCCCAAATCTGACATCCCAAACTTCCAAACCCTAAACTTGGCCCCAAACCCAAAACCCCAAACCCGAAACCCAAAACCCCAAACCCCAAACCCGAAACCCTCAACCCTAAATCCGACACTCTTAGTCCTAAACTCTGAACCCGAAGCCCTAAACCCTAAATCCGAAACTCTTCGTCCTAAACTCTGAACCCGAAGCCCTCAACCCTAAATCCGAAACTCTTTGTCCTAAACTCTAAATCCGAAGCGCGACAGCCCGCCCCCCCCCTCCCAAGGAGTCCCCCACGGGATGATCGAGTCGGCAGCTTTGTCCTCGCCGCTGTGGATTGACTCGAAGCCAGGGTTTGGGATATGGGTTTAGGGTTTAGGGTTTAGGGTTTAGGGTACAGTACCCAGACATTCCAATATGGGAGTTTCCGAAATTAGGGGTACCTTATTTTGGGGTCCTTATAATAAGGCTCCTATTATTTAGGGTACTATATTAGGGTCCCCTATTTTCGGAAACCCCCATATGGGTTCAGGGTTTGTAGTGTTTGGGGCTGGGGTCGATAAGGGTTTAGGGTTTAGGGCTGGGGGCTTACGGTTTAGGATTTATTTGGGGATCTAAGGGTTCTTTGAGATTTGGGGCCTTGCTTGGGATTTGGGCTCTTGTTTGTACCTTGCTTGGGATATGGGGCATATCTTTCGCAGCCCAGATCCCTGAAAGCCAGGTAATTATCCAGACCTTCCAAAATCCTTCAATTAAGCAACATAACTTGAGTCACAAGGGGATCCCTAGTACGATTTAAAGTATATTCCTTAACTAATTAAGGTATATTGGAAGGTCTGTGTAATTTCTACGGACACCCTAAACCTTAAACCCTGTTTTGAAGGCCTTCGATAACTTGCAAAAGTTCTTTTCGCGCACCACTCTTGTAGCCTCCATGCCACTCATCTTCAGACGTTTCGGGATTTTAGGGCTTGGGTCTGAGGGTTTAGGGTTTACCGTTTAGGGTTTAAGGCTTAGGTGTGTTGTGTTTGGGCTGTAGGTTCAAAGCCGACGGTTTATCCAAAATCGACTCGGTGGTCCTTTGTGGACACATGCTTTCCTGCCTTGCGAAGTTTAAGCTGGTCACAGGAGCAGCATACTTTCATCGTGACGAAGAAACGCTTCGATCTTACGCGAGGCCAGAGTACATGTGGTTATGATTATCCCTAAACCCTAAACCCTAAACCCTAAACCCTAAACCCTAAACCCTAAACCCAAACCCAAAACCCAAAACCCTCAACCCTAACCCTAAACCCAAAACTTGGGATTGCGGGCTCAGGGCTCAAACCCATGGGCCCTACAGAAGCCTCACCTGTGACCCCAAAACCCTACAAAATAGTAGGTTATGACCCCTTAATTGGAGGGTAGAACCCTTAAAACGGTAG